TTGTGTTTTGACCAGTTGTTTTTGAGATACAGTCTCCCTTCTTGCCCAGGTGTGCTTCTAGGCTGCAATCTCAGGCTTCTTCATGCGGCTGGGATGACAGGTGCATACCATACCACGCCCCAATTGTCCTGTTGCAATGGAGTCTCTTGAACTTTTCTGCCCAGCTGGCCTGGAACTTCAAACCTCCCACATAGCTAGGATGACAGGAACTCGCCACCTGTTCTACCAATTGCGATGGGGTCTCAAGTATGTGCCTGCCTGGCCTCACATGAAGATCCTCCCTTTCCCAGCCTCCCAAGTAGCTTGGATTACAGGTAAGAGTTGCCAGCACCTGGTTTGATTCATGTACCTCCGAACAAGAGTTTTAAGTGTGCAATACTTGTTTACAGGGAGCTCTGTCCCCTCTGGGGACCGGCCTTGTCGATGTGGCCACAGCTAGTTGGTACTACTGCTCTGTGGGATAGCACAGCCACCTTACATCAGGCTCTCTTCAGAGCTGCCATGTTCTCCATCCTTAACACCTGGCAAAGTCCTCAGAGTCTTTTTGGTACCAGAGATGCTCAGAGGTAGAGCCCCAGAGAGGACATGAGGCGAGAGATTGGGACCATGCGAAGCAAGCACAAAGGGGAAGGACCACGGAGGGACCCGTGTGTCTGGTGGAAGCAGCTCCATGGCCACGAGCACCTCACACGCATGCCTGCCGTGGGCACAGTGGGAGGCAGAAAAGAAATGACAGATGCCAGTGCTAATTAGGCAGGCATTCTACCACTTGAGCCACAATCAGCCACTCAGGCAGCTCCTATTTTCAACTTGGCCAGGGTAGGAGAAACCGAATATAAGTTATTTTCAGACAGACTTTTGTGTTTTTGGCGAATTGGCCTGTTCTGCAATCTTCCTACCTATTCTTCCTGGGATTCCAGGTGTACACCACCAGGCCTAGCTTAATTGTTGAGATGAGGCTCCGATAACTTTTTACCCAGGCTGGCTTCAAAATCACAATCCTAGTGGGTCACCAGTGGCTCACTCAGGAGGCTGAGATCTGAGGATCGTGGTTCAAAGTCAACCCAGGCAGGAAAGTCTGTGAGACTCTTATCTCCAATTAACCACCAGAAAACCTGAAGTGATGCTGTGGCTTAAAGTGGTAGAGTGCTAGTCTGAAGCAAAAGAGTTCCGGGACAGCGCCCAGGCCCTGAGTTTAAGCCCCATGACCAACCAAAACAAAACAACAACCAGAACAAATCCCAAAAAACCCAACCCACAACCCTGCCAGGCACCAGCGGCTAATGCCTATAATCCTAGCCACTTAGGAGGCTGAGATCTGAGGATTGCAGTTCAAAGCCAACCCCAACAGGAAAGTCTGTGAAACTCTTTTCTCCAATTAACCACCAAAAAAAAAAGGCAAAAGTGGAGCGGTGCCTTAAGTTATGGTAGAGTGCTAGCCTTGAACAAAACAGCTCAGCGATAGCACCTAGCTATGCCTAAGACAGGTACCAAAAAAACAAAAAACAAACAAACAAAAAACTACAACAGGCCTCCTGAGTAGCTGGGATTACAGGTATGAACCACGGAATCCAGCTTGAATTCCAAATTCTCATGGGAACATTTACTCATTTACATAGTGTCCATGGCTACCTGTGTCCTCCATTGACTGGGGTGCAAGCAAGGGGGATAACAGGACCTCTTCCCTGGACTAGACTACATTCAGCCTCCACTTAGCCCCCTTCCTTACTAGGTCTCAACTTTGGGCTTGAATGTCCAGTGCTAATAGGATGTCTCCTAAGTCCCTTTACATAGAATTCCCTGTGCTCTCTGGCCATTTAGCAGCCCTAGGCCTTGTGCACCAATCATCTGGCACATTAAGTGCATGGTCTCCATGCTTACGACCAATAGCATGCCTGGCACTCAAGGCCAAATTGAATGGAAGGGAAAAGAAAAGAAAAACTGATGAACAGATTGCTCTAGAGAGATCCTCTAAGGATGGCGCCTGCTCCCAAGGACAGCAATCACACTGGCTGGACACACGACAATCACCTGTAATAATTGGATGCTCTGGACAAGTCTAATGAAGGGCTCAGTACAAGTGTTTATTTAATGATTACCTCTCACTCATGCATAGCCTTGAGAAATACAACTTAAACTGTGGAAAGTGCTTGGCTTCCTTTAATGGGAAAACAAAATGCTCTGGGCTGGAGGTAAGGCTCAGGGGTAGAAGGCTCCCCTGGGAATGGAAGGAAACAAGCAACCTACAGCTTCATGTGTTACAAATAAAGTTTTATTGGAACAAATTCATGCCCGTTCCTTTGCATATTTATGGCTGCTTTTGCTCTGTAGTAGCAGGTTTAAATAGCTGCAGCAGAGCCTTTGCAGCCTTCAGATTCTATATGTAGCATTTACCATCTGGCCTTTTCCAGACAGGTCTGTTGGTCTTGCTCTGGGGTATAAGCTTGATGAGGAGAGGAATGGATGGTGCGGCCCTCGTGCCCCAGGGGCTGCAACACTGAGGCTCACTGCAAGAGCTCTCATGGTGGTTTATGTGTGTGGTGTCAGTTGGATTATTTGGGGTGTGAGAAAAGTATGCTGGAGATCAAAGCCAGGAACCCGGGTTGACATACACCTATCACAGACAACATTTCTATTTGTATTACATAGGACCAGCACCAATTTCTTAATGTCTTGATCATGGGGGTTTCTTTATGTATGGTTGAATCTATGCTTTAACAATATTGTAAATCCAAATAAATAAACAAATGAAGCTTAATAAAAACTTGAAGGAACATCAGGTCTGGTAGGCACACCCTATAATCCCAGTTACTCGGGAGGTGGAGGTAGGAAGATCGAGGCCAGCACAGGGGAATAAGTAGTGAAACCTTGTCTCTAACACAAGACAAGTACGGTCGAAGTGGCAGCCACAAGCTTGAGACCCTGGGTTCCTCCACCAGGACCGACAAACAAAATCAAATATAACCAAGAAAAATAGGTAGGAGTCTAGAGCCTGGCAAATGAGAAGTCCTCTGGTTCATAGCAAAGCACTGAGCCTGGCATCAGAAGGACAGAGTAAGAATCATGGCTCTGCCATTAGCTATTTGATGACCCCAGGCATAGAGCAATTCCTAGAATCTTCGTTCCTTCCACCACAAAGTCCAAATACCACTCCTGCCTTCTGGTTTGGACAGGTGCTCTGGCTGGAGAGCAACTGGACATGTCTGGGGTAAGAAGCCATGGGAAGCTTGCAGCACTTCATGGCTTGTTAGAAATAATGAGATAACAAGCTTTGCTTCTTGGGAAGCTCAGAAAGGGAGGTGCATGGTTCTAAGCTAGCCGAGGCAGGAAAGTCCGAGAGACCTCCACGGAGTGCAGCCAGGTGCAGCAGCACCGGCCTGTCATCCCAGTAATGATGGGAAGCCGCAAATAGGCGGATTATGGTCCAGTACATACTGGGCTGGAAATGAGACTCCATCAGCATCACCAATGCCTACTTAGCAAATGTGAAACCCTTTCTGTCCCCAGTACAATCACAAAAGAAGGAATAAAGGAAGAAAAGAGGGAGGTAAGGAAGAAGAAAGGATAAAGGAACTGAAAGTCGGGGAGGCTTAGGTTGACTGTGCAGACCAGGAAATGACAGTAAGAACACAGCCTGCACTGGGCTTTAGCTCCTAGCGCACTGTGGCTCTGGCGCTGGAGGCAGGAGCTGGGCCCAGCCCCTGTTCCCTCCAAGAGCTGTTTTCCTTCCTAGTCCTGGACTTTTCCCTCTGATTTTCCACCCCCATCTGTCATCTTCATGGAGGGCTCTGCCTTCTGTCTGTCCTTCAGTGCAGCAATCTACCCACTGACCCTTCTCACACTCCCTCCTCATGCAGCGCTTCGAAGCCCAAAGTACACTCTTCTAGAATGCACGTTTCCACACAGGTCTCTTGCTCGCACTCTGGGAAGCCCACATCTGCGTGCTGCCCTCTGCCACCTCTGCTCATTCCCGCACCCCTCCTCACCTCTGAGACTCGTCATCTGCACCTACGCAAGGTCCAGGCTCTCCTCTCCCAGCTGCCGGACACGGCTGGGACATGGACAGCTCTGGGCCCCACTGTTCCTCAGAACCTCAGTCTCTAGAATGCCGCGCCCCACACCCCACCCCAGGGCTCCCTGAGTCCGATCCGGTCCTGCATCTGGCCTAACCCTCGCAATGCTCACTCCCGTCAGATCATATTCCATCACTCTGAAACCCACTGGCATCCCACGGGGGCTGCAAGTCAGATACACACGGGGTTCAGAGACTTGGCAGGACGCGTGGCAAGAGCCTATCAAACTTATTTGGATGATGTATTAAAATGATGCATATATATATATATATGTATATAATAGTTCATGTTATGCACATGGCTGCTTGGAAGAGGAGCCCTGGCGCTGTGGCCTGCTTACCTTTCATTCTTTTCTCTCTCCATAATGCCCTCCACCCCTAACTCTTCAATTCTGGCTTTTTCTGCAGGTTCCTGAATACGCTGCTTGCTTTCCAGACTTTTGTGTACGAGCTGCACCTTCTCCTTGCAATGTCCTATTAAGGTCTGATAGTCTGAGACTCCGCTTGGTAACACCTGAAGTCTCCTGAGCACAGAAGTCGCTTGTGGCTTTCAAAGCCCCCAAGCCTCCCCCGATGGAAGTCTGTCACAGGCTCTGCCCTGGCGCTATTCCAGCCTGGCTCATTACTACATCGACACAACAGTGACCACACGGTGAAAAACACAACATGCACACTGCTTCCTCACGCTTGTGCATTCTGAAGCACAAGTGTGGGATACATTTGCACACACTCTTGCCAGAGATCTCAGGAGTGTGTGCATTCGTGGGGAAGTGGTGCTGGCTGGAAGGGGAAGGAGGGGTGGTAGAGACGGTGGCCCCTCACGACGTTCGCTCTGGACATGCTGATAGGGCAGCCGTCCAGCAGCTGATGGTCCCCCTTCCCCGATGGACTGGCAGTGAAAGGTGAACACGAAGCTGGTGTCTCCTACCGTGATTTTCTTGTGATCAGGAAACTCGAGGCCGAAATAGTCGCCTTCCACAAGGTTGAGGTGGCTGCACACGGCATCCAGCAGCACCTTCCCCGGAGCCCTTTGCTGGGAAGAGAAACAAGCGGGGTTATGACTTCTACGTCAGTGACAACGTGCCAGGCCACTGAGTCCCCAAGTCTGTGCCCCACACAGCACACAGCTCGCCACTAACCCCGGCTTGAACCCGAGCCCAGGCCCCGCCACAAACCTGCATACAGCTCCCTGCCACCCCTGTCCTTGCCCTCCTTCCGCATACAGCTCCCTGCCACCCCTGTCCTTGCCCTCCTTCCGCATACAGCTCCCTGGCACCCTGTCCCTGCCCTCCTTCCCTTGTATAGTCGCAGCTTTCGGTTTTGCAAGTCAGTTCCCATGCCCTCCCATACCCCATCACTGCCTCACAGCAGTGTGGCAGATTTGCAATCACTGTTGAACCAGATCTGAGATATTACTGGCACCCAACACCAGTAAGTTTTACCTGAACTGGGGTTTGCTCCTTGTGCTGGAAAGTTCAGTGGGTACTGACCAATGAATAGAGACATGTCTCTCCTACTACCATGCCAGAGAGAACACACGTGTCACAGGAAATGAGTTCCCCCTTGAAAGTCCTCCACAGTAAGCTGGGGACAGGGCAGAGGGGACAGAAAAGGTGAACAAATGCAATAGTGTACTCATTGGACACTATGTTGAAAATGAACTGTACAACTTGTGGGTGGGGACAGGAAGGAAAAACTGAGAGTGAGGGAAGGGGTGACATTGTCCTAACAGAAATATACTCATTACCTGACCTATATAGCAGTAGCCCCTCCGTATGCCACGATAATAAGAAGAAGGAGAAGGAGAAGGAGAAGAGAAGGAGGAGGAGGAGGAGGAGGAGGAGGAGGAGGAGGAGGAGGAGGAGGAGGAGGAGGAGGAGGAGAGAAGGAGGAGGAGGAAGAGGAGGAGGAGGAGGAGGAGGAGGAGAAGAGAAGGAGGAGGAGGAGGAGGAAGAGGAGGAGGAGGAGGAGGAGGAGGAGAAGAGAAGGAGGAGGAGGAAGAGGAGGAGGAGGAGGAGGAGGAGGAGGAGGAGGAGAAGAGAAGGAGGAAGAAGAAGAGGAGGAGGAGGAGGAGGAGGAGGAGGAGGAGGAGGAGAAGAGAAGGAGGAGGAGGAAGAGGAAGAGGAGGAGGAGGAGGAGGAGGAGGAGGAGGAGGAGGAGGAGGAGGAGGAGGAGGAGGAGGAGGAGGAGGAGGAGGAGGAGGAGGAGGAGGAGGAGGAGGAGGAGAAGAAGAAGAAGAAGAAGAAGAAGAAGAAGAAGAAGAAGAAGAAGAAGAAGGTCCTCCTAGTGCCACATGCTGGTGGCTCAAGCCTACAATCCTACCTATTCAGGAGGCTATAATCTGAGGATCAAGGTAGTTCAACACCAGCCCAGACAGGAAAGTCTGTGAGACTCTGATCTCCACCAAAAGGCTGGAAGTGGAGTTGTAGCTCAAGTGGTAGAATGCTAGCTTTCCACAAAAAAGCCTAAGGCCAGCACCTAGGCCCTGAGTTCAAGTCCCAGGATCAACATACATGTGCAGGTGCGCGCGCGCGCGCACGCACGCACGCACGCACGCACGCACGCACACACACACACACACACACACACACACACCGAGTCCTCTATGCCCTGCCTCATTTCCCCCACCTACCTCCTTACTGTCTCTGCAGCTGTTGTAGAGGTCTTGCTGGAAATTAGGATTAAGGCACACAGCTCTTCCAGACCGACTCCTTTCACTTGCTGGTGGGGATGCTGTTACTGCATGGTTCCCTTCCTTCATTTCTTTATTTTGTGCCAGTTCTGGGGCTTGAACTCGGTCTGGGAGCTATCCCTGAGCTTTGTGCTCAGAGATAGTGCTCTACCACTTGAGCCACACTCCACAATGGGCTTTTTAGTGGTTAATTGGAGGTAAGAGTCTCATTTGACTTTACCATCCAGGCTGGCTTTGAACCATGATCCTCAGATCTCAGCTTCCTGGGTAGCTAGGATGATCCACATGGTATGATGCACATGGCATCTGGCCTCACTTTCTTTTATTGATGAAGAATACTCTGTTGCCTGGGCGTCCCAAAGTTTCTAAATTCACCTACTACAGGACATCTTGGTGGCTTTCAAGTTTTGGTAGTTAGGAGTAAAGCAGATACAGACATTTATTTGTGGTTTGGTGAAAATGTAGATTTCAGCTCACAATTCCAGGGTTTTTTTGGTTTTTTTTTTTTCCAGCTGTGGGGCTTGAACTCAAGGCTAATGCTCTACCACTTGAGCCACAGTGCCACTTCCAGCTTTTGAGTGGTTAACTGGCAATAAGTGTCTCATGGACTTTTCTGCCCAGGCTGGCTTCAAACCATGATCCTCAGATCTCTTGAGTAGCTAGGACTAGGATTACAGGCATGAGCTGCCAGTGCCTGGCTGAGGATTGTTCATTTTGTTTTGTTTCGTTTTAAATGACAGTTAAAATCATGACTCTGTGCCTTTCTTCTCCCCTACAGCATTTACAGCTTTTGGCTGGCTGTATGTGTGGGGATACATCAATACTAGGGCTTAATCTTAGGACCTTGTGTTCTTTCTTGACTTATTTCACTGGCACTCTACCACTTGAGCCACAGCTCTACTTCCAGTTTTGTGCTGGTTAACTGGAGATAAAGTCTTATAACTTTGTTGTCCTGGCTGGCTTTGAACCTCGATCCTCCAATCTCAGCCTCCAGCACCCAGCATGGCTTTCTTGTAGAATTCTGCAGCACTTTATGCAGACTCACACCTACATTATCCCCACATAGAAGGCAAAAGGCCAGACTTTATCCTCTATCCTGTGGGGCCCATAGGCTAAACAACGTTTTAGGAATGAATAAATACAAGTTACATTTCCAACTGAGTCTCTGTCCCCAATTAATATGTGACGACTTATTCATCTTTATATTCCCATAGTACTTAGCAAAGTTCCCAGTATGCAGTCACTGTCCGCTGTTCATGACCTCCATGTCCTGAAGGGGAAGGGAAGATTAGATGTAGGCAAGAAACCCAGTTTCTACCCCCAAAGAGCTTAGAACCCTATGCCTCAGTATCTCTTCACTGTCTAGTAGATTCCTAACGATGCACTGATAAGAAGAATCAAACTCCATCATGTAGATCAAACACCAGAAGGCAAATATTATAAAGATATCACTGTCCACAGTTCCTGTTTCCATCCTCATCTCCCCTCTGTAAGCGTGCAGCACTTAGGAACTAATTAGTAACCCGGCTGATGGTTAGAATTGAGGCCTGACAAGTTCAAGAAGGGACATGTCCATCAGCCTGTCCCCGAAGGGCCAAAAAAGCCAATGAGAATATGGTAGTGTTGAACATGACACACTTTTTGTGATCATGACCCATTTTAGCCACTGTTCATGCCATCATCTCCTAGCTAGGCCGACACAAGGATACAATGAGCTGCTCCATGGAGTCCCTGGTCCTGGGTGCAAGTCCTCACGTCAGTCTCCAAAGAGCTACATGGCCAGCTGACACAAACCACTTACTCATAGACTCCCTCTCACCATGGTAACTCGGTCAATATCTAGCTATTAATAAGAATTTTATAAAAATGTGTAAGGAAATGAGAAGTTACAGAAGAACTCCTTTTTATTTTTTGTTTAAAAGGGAAGACCAGCCAGATGCCAGTGGCTCATGTCTGTAATCCTAGCTACTCAAGAGGCTGAGATCTGAGGATCACAGTTCAAAGCCGGCCTGTGCAAGAAAGTCTGTCAGGATCTTATCTCCAATCAACTACCAAAAAAGCCAGAAGTGGTGCTGTGGCTCAAGTAGGGTGCTACCCTTGAGCAAAAACGCTGAGGGACAGTGCCCAGGTCCCTGAGTGCAAGTCCCAGAACTGGCACAAAAAAAAAGGGGGGTGGGGAGGGGTGAGACCAAATTCCAGTTTCACAGTCCTTTCTCACAGTTCTCAACATCGTCTATTCGTACAAAAATGAGCCACCAATGACCAGCCTGGCTGGCAGGCATACCCGTTTCCCAAGGAATTCCTGGAATGCAGGAACTGGATAACTTCATCTAGATTTACAGACTGAGAAACGAGACTTTTATAGCGCAACTCTAAAAATCTAAACAAGCAGAAAGAAATCAATATACAATGGCTGTCTTTTATGGACAGTTCATGAGAAGAGGGAGAGTTAACAGTTAAATGGGTCCTTTGCTGAGAAAGAAGAGCCTTTGGTGAACATATCACACACATCTTGGTAATAACGCCAGGCCTATGGAGGCCAGGAGCTCTCAGCGTGACCACAGCAGTGCCCACACCATTTTCTTTCTGTCCTGGGCAGTGACTGGCATCCTAGAACGGCAGCTTGCAAGCAGATGCTTGGAGTCTAGCTAATAATGTCAAACTGGGTCTCCCATCTTAAAAACTTTATCTTCAAATATAATCTCTTGTTCAAATGCTTATAGAAAATGTCTTTTCTACACTAGTAAATTTTTTTTTAAACAGGAAGACATCAACTCTGAGAGCTTTAGAACTCCTAAAACCTGCAGGATAGAAGCGTGCGGAGTACTGTATGAGCTCCCGGGGGCACACTGGTGAAGTTCAGGGATAAAAGGAAACTGAGCAGCAGTGGCTCACGCCTGTAATCCTAGCTACTCAGGAGGCTAAGATCTGAGGATTGTGGACCAAGAAAGTCTATGAGACTTTCTTTCTTTTTCTTTTTTTTTGGGGGGGGGGATGTCCAGTCGTGGGACCTGAACTCTGGGTCTAGGTGCTGTCCCTCAGCTCTTCAGTTCAAGGCTAGCGCTCTACCACTTGAGCCACAGCGCCACTTCTAGCATTTTTTCTTTTTGCTTATGTGGTACTTAGGAATCGAACCCAGGGCCTCAGGCATGCAAGGCAAGCGCTCTAGCATGCAAGGCAAGCGCTCTACCACTAAGCCACCTTTCCAGCCTCTCCTTTCTTTTTTTGTTGGTTGTGGGGCTTGAACTCTGGGCCTGGGCACTGTCCCTCAGCTCTTCAGCTCAAGGCTTGTGCTCAACCACTTAAGCCATAGTGCCACTTCCGGTTTTCTGGTGGTTCAT